TCAATGAAGAACTGAGTCAATTCAACACCCGACGTACATTGACAATATGGCCTTGTCAAGTGTCCAATGCCTATTATAATGGTAACACTCTCATACCGACATTGTCACTGCAGGATATGATATTAGTGCCCATTTCCAAAAACAAGCAATGAAAAAAGCGGCGCGGTCGTTGCTGTTGCTGTGAAATTACGGCGCGGGCAACAGAAATCGTGACCGTCGTATGTTCATAATTTATTCATCAGCATTTCTTTCAACCACGATGACGACGACCGCAGCACCAGCAGCATCGGCAACAACAGCGACAACAGCATGAGAACACAAACACAAACACAAACAACAATCACACGAGCTCAAACAACAATCACACTGGCTGAAGAAGAGCAGGAGGTGAAAAAGCAAGCGCAGGCAAAGGCAGGACAAGCGCAGGCAAAGGCAGGACGAGCAAAGAGGAAAACCAGAGACGAGGCTCATCATGTGCTCGTGCGCGCTGCAAATATTCAAATGATCCGCAACATGCCAGAGGCTGACGCCGCGCTCACCAAACGCCCAGAACGCAAGGGTGGAATTGTTGTTGAGGATGATATGAGGGCTCCTTTCACATTACAGGATTATGTGAAAGTTGGAGCTGATTTTCGTCCAGGGATGAATCGTCTGGCCGGACGTGGTTTTATCCAGGAGATGCAGTCTCCTATAAAGCATATCACCGATCACATGTTTCCAAGGTCATGGGAATTGCTGTGACTGCTTTTGCGTTCAAATACTCTATTGAAAACGGTGGAGACGGCCTCAAGATTGGCTTCTATCGTGCCCAAACAAACAAGGTTGCAAAGAAGTTAGTAAGGCAGGGAGTACGACAGGATGATGGTTCTATCAAGCGAACTGGAGCGGTGATAAGAGAAAAAGGGGACTTGTACTTGGTGGATTGTAATGTCACTGGATCGTCAGAAGGGACCCCTGATGATCCAAAGTTTGCATTGAAGAAGTTGTTTGAGCATCACATCTTTCAAAAGTTGGATGGTCTTGTGGCGGCAGGAGGACAATACGAAGGATACATTCCTGTTATTCAAGGTGACAATGCAGGGCCGCATGCTGAAAAAGAATACTTTAATTGGTGCAAGGCTCAATGTGAACAACGTGGCTGGCACTGGGAACCGCAAGCTCCACAAATGCCGCATATAAACAACTTAGACTTGTCAGTATTCCCCTGCATGTCAAGACGTCATTGTGCAGCCGCAAGAGAGAGGGGAGGGCTCCATGTTTTGAAATAGGGCGAAATTTGGGATGCAGCAGAGGACGTTTGGAGAACACTTCCTTGCATTGGAAGGGGGCAACGATTTTGTTGGAAACAAGATAGAGAATGGCATTCATTGTGATATCCGAAAAGATCACAATGAAACTCTAGAAAAGACGGAGATATGAGCAACCCTCCAGCACCAGCAACAGCAGTATAGCTTACCTCTTACTAAGTAACAATGTATTGATTGTATCTCAGAATCAGAATGAATTCAACTTGTAGTTCTTGATCTCCAATCCTTCCGTACAGTTATAGCTATTGTAACGTTGTCAATCCGTTTTCGATCGGCACTTGTTTGCGTACGTGTTTCACGTGAAAATAAAATTTCGTGCGAAAACCCAGACCTGCATTTTTCGAGAAATGGAGCTCGTATATGTTAGAAGTAAGCGATCCAGTGCCGCCTGCAATCTACCTGTTTCAATTGACTGCGATTTAGCTGTCCAGGTATTGTTGCCTTCTAAGTATATGAATTTACAGTATATAGAAGTATATAGATCAATCAAAGATCCTACTTTATCAACCAATTCACTCGTTGCTTGCAATATATTATAAAAAGTGAGAATAGTCTGTCAACTTTTGACTTTGACTCTTTCCTCTCCAGCTCAGTGGAAATTCTCAGAATTCTCTCTACGTCAGCCTGATATGCTGCAAGTTCAATCTGTTTATCCGTTCACCTTCCACTGTAGTCGGTACTTTGATTAGTATCCAACTTTGGCTCTTGCTTGAATCTTGCTTTCTTACATCATCAACAGGATGATTTCCATAGAAATATAATCCGTTTTCTGACTCGCCACGCTCGATGTTTTTAGTCGCATCAGTCTTCATTTTTAGTCGTATCAGTCGACATCATTTCTCTATCGTTCACATGCATTCTCTTTTTCTCGTTTCTCCAAATATGTACTTCGAAAATCCTAATATATCCAACAGCGTTGCACCATGCAGTCATATCTCCACCTCGCACCGACGTTGTGCTCAGCCGTACCTCGGGCAATGAGAGCATTCGCAAACTCCGATTTGCAACTAATATTTGCAAAATGGGCCAATAGTTCATGAAACTTCTCCAAGCTTGACTCAGCTCTTGAGCTTCTCCATTCGGTCAGCCCATGCTCGGCACTTGATTTCACTCCACGGTAGGTGGCTGCACCTTCATGATCCAATACGTATGGAACCTTTGAAAACTGTTCTCTTGTTGTGTCCTCTGTCTTGTATGTGAAGACCTTTCGATCGCTATCGTCACTGACATCTATCCATGCTTTCAGCCAGTCATTTAAATTTTCAATGATCTTTTCTGCCAAATGGAACTCCTTTCTTAACCACTTGTCATAACGTTGTTTGAAGACCTTGGAAAAGCGCATGTCGGTGAGCTCGTCCACTGACAAATTTTCTCCAAGCAAACCATTGGTCACGGCCCCAACAAGTGCTGCCCAATCCTCTTTGTTGTAGTTGTAAATACGGCAAGACACGGCCAGAAATGTTCACTTTTTGAATCAAGGGTGTCAACCATACGAGTCAAATATTGGGGGGGGGAAGACCCCTAGCTAGGGGGTGTGTCTATGACCCCGATCAGTTGACATTTTTAAAAAAAAAGAGGCACTTTCAATAATCGGAACTTTTACACGTCCAAATAAAAGTGTTCCAGTAATCCTGCTATCATGAGAAATCTATCGCCAAACCAAGAGGGTGTCTTGCAAGAACAAGCCAAAGAAGCATATGCAAACGAAGACTTTGAAGAAGCCCTGAAATTATATCGTGTGGCCCTACCGTCAAGTCGCGGCAAAGAAAGACAATTACTCTTGTCCAATATTGTCGCTTGTCGTTTGAATATTGGGGGTTCGGCACAAGCTGAAGCGGCAGTGGACAACGCCAAACAAGTAAGTATAGGCACAGCTGTTTGGCGAGGTGAGTGCATTTTTTTCGAATCTCACTTTCAACCTTTTTTTCTTTTATCAATGGAACTATATAAAATATGATGGCAATGAAAGTGTATTGCTCTGAATGATCAATGGGCAAAGGGTCATGTAAGTTGTGAAGGTCGATGCCCACACCAATATAGAAAAGCTATTTTTCTGCTGCTGCGGCTGGGAAATTGCGAATTACTCTGAATCGATTGTTGGACTCATGATAAACATGTGCTTTGCTGTAGGTACGACTGGCATCGGCATATATTGCCTTGGGAGGCCACAGCAACGACGCTTGCAATTCTTTGCAACGGGCGATTCAATTGGATCCTGGACACCCGACGGCTAGGCAAATGCTGGTTCAAGAACTACGACGTGACCATCGATTGGCATCAAGAAATCAACAGGATTTGGACAATCATAGATCTGATGGATCATCCAACAGTGTTGCTTCAGAGCCCGGTATGCCATACAGCAACAGAGAGTCGTCTGCGCCCTCTCGTGCCACGATCTTTGACATGGATGATCCATCGGCGCCATCGTCAGACTCGTCTTTATCATGGTTCGACTACCTCCAATTACAGTTTACAAAGGCCGTTCGATGGTATTATTCGCAATCGGAAGATAGGCGCAACGTTATTCATGTTTGTTTAGTGTTCTTGTTTTTATACGTTGCCTTCGGTGGACGATTTGGGTTTGAAGAGTGTACAAGCAGCAGTGCTACTAAATATCGAAAAGGAAACTATGGAACAGGCAACGCCTATGATCAGCATTATGGCCGGCATTCCTCCTCACCCGAACCACGTCACACGAGCTACAATGCCAACTACCAAGCACAGTACTCTTCCCACCACCCATCCCAGAGTTCATCTTATTCTGGTTACGACTCCTCGACGCAAGCGGCTGGGTCGTTCTTTGATCAATGGGATGGCCATCTAACACCAATCTTGCTGCTAGTGGTGGGGGCTACCTATCTATGTCATCGGAATGGGATTCCAATCACTGAAGCTGTATCCTTTGTGGTGTGGAATATACTATTTCGCAGGGGTCGATATTGTCGCTGGGGTTTGGGTGCGCGTAATAATGGGATTTTTCGACAACGCCGTCACCGACACAGACGATACTAGTGTCGGAGCTGTCGTGTATCTGGCGAGAGTCTCGGATATTTTGATGATCGGGTCTGTCCACTGGTGCCCTATAGTTGATCCAGAGTATTGATCGAGGAACGCTTTCTCTATTAGTGTTGTTGACGAAATCATTTTGGGGATGTTATGTCAAAGCCATTGATGAAAGTTGATCAAAGACGAATAGATCCATTGCCTGGGATACCCCGCAGTTTGTCCTAGATCCGGGTTTCTATTATTTCTTTTTAGTCCGTGTGGTCATTTTCACCCTTTTCTGCATTAGTCTCTCATGATGAAATTGACTTAGGGCAAATTAAAAGTGACCAGTCGAGTATTTAACAAGCAGAAATTGCGTTAATTCTTCCGCCATCGTTCGCTCTAGTTCGCTCGTCGTGCATTCGCCGAAGCGGAAAATCATGAATTGTCGTAAAATGCCGAAATTGTCGTAAATTCCCAACAAGAAATCTACGACAATTCTAACGGTAATTGAGTACAATT